TTTTTGTGTATGCAAGTCACCATCATCCCCAGTATATCAAGAGTGCAAAATGACAAGTCCTTAAACTCCTACCCTCTACTATAGCCTTTACTTATGACATCTGATGTGGTGTGTTCCTTCGCTCGATGGTCTTTTCCATCCTCTGATATTGTAGTGTCTCTGGCTTGTATCATCACAAGGGTGGTGACCAAAGGTGATGACAGCTTATGCCATGTCAAGTGGGCCACATGGAATGGACCCAAGGTGAGACTTGATGCTTTGTGCTGTTTTGAGCCCTTGCCCATTCTATCATTCCAAGGATTTTCTCCAGGTCTTTGTTCACTTCAGGGAATTTGTCTTTCCTCCCCACCATACTGTTTTAAATTCCCAGCAGCCTTTTTTATCTCATTGAGTATGAATCTTAAGGTGGGAAAGAGCCAGTCATAAGCTCTGTTTGAAAAGTTAGCCCTAAACACCGTACAAAGAATAGTTTGGAGTGAAGCATTTCTAGACCTCTGGCTTTAGAAAAAGGAGGTACTGAAGTTTCCCTTGTATCTGAGGAGAGGCTCCTGGGAAGGGTAACTTGAAGTAAGATAGTTAGCAGGTAGGCAAAAGCTGTGACATCAGCAGTCCCATACTTGAGTATTCTATGATATCCTGGAGAGCTCTGTCATCTCCTGTGATGTCACCAGTGTTGCTGTGATACCAACAGGCTATGGGGCATTTATTCCGTGCCTTTATGGTTAACCTATAGACATGGTGGCAACATGAAGCAAACTACTTGGAAAAGAGAATTGAGAGCGTAGAGAGACTAGACAGAGGCAGAAGGAACCTTTGGTACTTTTGTAAAACAGCAAGAGACAAACGTTGTGGGAATGTTGAGTCTTGGCAGGGGATGGAGTGCTTCCTGCAGGAGGTAGGCTTGAAGTGGGCCTTCAAGGAGTAGGGCATGGGAGGTGGCAGTTTCTGGGAAACAAGGAGCCTATCCTGTATCTTTGATTTCCTACAGAGCAGATATGGAGTCAAGGATTTCTGATGATTAGTTTGACAGAGATCCAGGAATTGTCCAGGCTGCATATTCTGTAAGTATTTGAAGTGTTTGAAGATTACCTACCTAATTGAAATATACCTTTTTACACTTAAAAACTTAATTAACTAACATGACTACAAGTTTGATTATTCTAGATTGCTATCAATCTGTACTTCTCAATTATATATTACAATTTTAAATGAGTCACATAAACATAATATCTTAAACAGTAGAGATATATACAGTATAACAAAATTAACTTTAAAATTGTATTAATAAACTAAAATCTATAACAATATAAGATATTTTAAACAAGTTGTTGCTCTTTAATCTAAACTTTCATTCTATCATATCTATATTCCCTTTTCTTATTTTTAAATGTTTTTATTTATTATGTATACAGAAGAATACCAGATCTCATTATAGATGGTTGTGAGCCACCATGTGGTTGCTGAGAATTGAACTCAGGACCTCTGGAAGAGCAGTCGGTGCTCTTAACCTCTGACTCATCTCTCTAGCCCTATCCCCTTTTCTTTTTTAGAAAGAGATTGCATTTCTAATCAATATCCTTTAAATAAAAACAAACATTTTAAATAATATATTGGGAATTTGAGCATAGCTTCTCATACTACTCCCTGGGCCTTGAATAGTCTGTGGGAAAGAAAAATAGTCCAGTGAATAAGTATCCTCCAATTTCTCTAGATTTTATGGTGAATTTACAAGTGATGTGGAACTTGTGTGAGAATTGAGTTCACTGACCAACTATAAAGCAGGAATAGTCATTGCAGAAAGAGGGATGAGGAAGAGAGAGGGTGAAAACTATCCTGCTGTGATAGTAGTTGATGTTAGCAGCAATGAGTAGTGAGGTAATCAATGTTACAAGATAAATAAATATTATGACTAGCAATTTCTTGAGTCCACAGACCAGGCAATCAAAAATCTGGATAAAAAACTGAAATTTCGTGAAACCAAATTAGAGTAGTTACACTATTTGAACCTAAGAAATAGAACTGGATAGAATGGTGGGGCCCTGTCTAACCTGACTGTGTTTTCCAGGTTTAAGATGTATAACCCAAGGAAAATGGCATGAGCAGTACTTGGTGTCCTCTAATACAAATCCCTCATCTCTGGAGCACATGGCCATAAAGACTGTTTCAACTTTTTAACAAAATTATTTGGGATTATATTTACATTATTATCTTTATGTCTTCCCTGCTTTCATACACTCCCATAGAAACTTAATTGTGTTCTAATCTATTACTTCTTTTTGTTTAACAAGTTACTGTTTGAATGTGACCTGTGTTTTGTTTCAGGACTTCTCAGCTATGAAGCAAGAGGTTGGTTGCACTGGACTTTGAGTATGTAATGTACAGTGCACCCATAGAAGCATGTGCTGTGGAAGAAAAAACGGGAAGCACTCTAAGAGATTAAAGAATATTACTAAACTACCAAATTCCCTGGTTACTGCCTTATCCAATCATAGTGTAGAAGGATCCACCTGGGAGGGTTTTTTCTCTCTGAGTCCTTTGAAATCTGCTCATGCAGTAGGGAAACTGCTAATGTCTTGAAGCCCAGCTGGGTGGTCCTAGCTGATGAGGGACTTTGGGGAGGGTTAGCAAACAAGAGCATCAGCAGAAGGTAGTTTCCAGGTTCTTTCCAGGATTCTCCTCTTGTTCTGCTCTAGGGAGCTGTAAGGATGTCCACAGGCCATGCCATGGTGAGTGTAGCATATTCATAGCAGTGGCTGAGCTGTGATTTCTGCTGGGACTTGGATGAACCATGATCCAGACTGTGGTTTTGTTGGTCCATGTGGTGACATGGGCAGTAGTCCTTGTCCTGTAAACCCTCCTGTGTATGGATTTCCTGGGTATGTAGAGGCTCTGCAGCCCTATTTGGGAAGATATGCTTATAACATCACTGTCCAGTGTGCACACACGGCCAAGTTTTTAGTGTGTAGTGGGAAGACAAATTGGAAAACTGAAGGTGGTGTGTCTAGAAGTTCTGAACATTGCACTCCATATTCAGGTTTGTCTTATAAATATTACAAATGGTTTAGAAACTGGTTAAAATTGGTGATATGGATTGTCTTTCAGCAATACATGATTATAATGCTTCTAACTTTGCTATAACCAGCTATAGTGGTATGATTTGGTGATGTTCAGTTCCTGGGACAAAAGCAGTTTCTGATCTGTAGAAATTTCTCTGGTGTACATGGTGTTGGGTGGGTGGATAGGGCACAATTCACACCTTGTGCCATAATCCATGTGACAGGAAGCATTCATAACTAATAAAAAGTATTTGTGTCATGATTTGGGAGGTGGTTGTTGGCCTAAATGAAATCCTGCTACATGCCCCGACTCACTGTCTCAAACTGATTTTCTCCTTAGATATTACTATTGCATATGTATTTATATGTCTATACACATAAATATATATGAGCTGCTGAGTCCATTTGGTATTTTTTCTATTTATATGATTTTAGTGCAGTCCATTTTGTATTGGATAACCAACTAGGAGGTTCATCCCTGGGAAAAACAATTCTCCCTCTCAATAGTCATTAGTTTCCTGTAGTTGTTGGTCTAGGGAGAAGATTCATTGGATCCCCTTAAACCTTCTCTTAGTCTATTTACTGGCCAAGTTTTCTCTTCCACGAGATCATCTAACAGGGCCCAGGGTCTGTCTACTTTGTCAGCTGTGGCTTTAGGTTTCCAACTTCTGTATGAATGCAGCTCTGGAGTAGGTCTCCTCTTCCAGAGTCCTGTGGTTGTAGTAGATGGGCCGCCCTGCTGTTTCCTCTGGCCTTGAACTTACAACAGCTCTCCAGTTTAGCTGCCAAGCCCTCCCCATTCTGCTACTTACCAAAAAACTGATGTCACCACAGGATTCCCATATCCTCTGAGTCAGGCTAAAATAATGTCTGGAGGGGTATTTCCAGAGAGGAGGAATGTCGGTGAGCATGTTCTGTGCATGTGTCTAAGAGGTACTTGCCTGGGGGATGCATGTGGAGATTGCAGTGCTTGTGAGGAGAGGACTGGAGGAATTTCTGTTGCGTTTGCTTTAGGGAGAGGGTGTTTTTAGTAGGTGATTTTTGGGCTTGTCCAAGGGAAGCAGGAATGCATGGCTGCAAAGCTCACAGGCGTTGTGCACCAACACTGCTCTTCTCTTGCCTATCTCAAATATCTGTGGAGCTGAAGAGGTGTTCATGGAGTGTCACCTAGCCAGATAATTTACAGCCCTAGAACTAGTCCCTGAAAACTCCTGGACCTGGATCTAGCTGGACAAGGATTCAACCAGGGCTGATAATGAAACCCAGAGATGTGAAGTTCATCATGTTGCTGCTGTAGTTTCTAGGAGTAGCTGGGTGCTGGGAACAATGCAAGAACAGCTTGCCATGGTGATAGAGGTGAGAACATGATACAGGAAAAGTGAGATAGAAATCCACCCACCTTTTTTAAGGATTTTCCTGCCATCAGGTTGTCTTCTGATTCTTTATGTATAAGCCAATCTCCAGACCCTTGTTTGAGTCTATATGCCTTTCAAATACTTCTTTTCTGCCCAGATGCCATACTTAGCTTTCCAGGGGCCCCCATTGCCTCTGAGACTTCAGATACTGGTAGAGTCTTGGATGTTTCTGGGACAGCATGGGTGATCCTCATAGGTGAGTTTCTTGGTAAAACTGGAAATGTTATAAGGCAAATAATCTAATTACTGTTGTTGTGAGCCATTTGCTATTTTGTATTAAAAACTCTGTTATATTGGCTATTATGAGTATTATGGAGCTTGTTTATATTATAAATTATTGCTGTCTCTATAGATTGTAGTTTTGGTCTGTTGGAAAGAGTTGTGGTAATTACATTCAGAATGACAAAGACCTGCCAAACAACTGACAACAAGTGCTGGGGAAAAAGTGGGAAAAAGAGTAATGTCATGAGCAAGAAAGATATGTGTAGTTAGTGTGACAAAAATTGTATTTTATGATGCTGATGGTCATCACACAAAGTTCACACTCCCAATTCCTAACTAAGTTCTTAAGTCTCCTTCCTCATGGCTGCTCACCTGTTCTATACAGTGTGAGGATTATGCTAATTGGACCTTTCTAATGAGATCTTTTCTCAAACAACAAAGCAAAGTATATTCAACTGTGTGTGTGTTTGTGTGTGTGTATCTGTTTCTGTGTGTCATTGAGGAATAACTTACTATTATATTTCCTTCATAGACCAAAATGGCTGGAATTTAAGGAGAATTGCTGGGCTCTGCTACCATACTAAGCTATATTTATTTCTGAGAATAATTTGAGAGGGACCAGTGGCTGACACCTGAAATGATTTTAAGAGATATTGTCCTGAACCATGCGACCTCTGCTGAGGTTAAGCTGGGACACTTTAATGCATTTTGGAAAAGGATTTCAGAATGAGACAATACAAATCAGAGTTGGAATTTTACTTTGAAACAGGATTTCTCTGTGTATCTCCAGCTGTCCTTGAACACAGAATGTAAGTAAGTTTGGTCCCAAACTCCTATATCTCTTCCAGCCTCTGCTGCCCAAGTATTGGAATAAAAGTTGTGTGCCACATCGTCCAATTGTAACTCTATTATTTATTTGCTTAGAACTGTTTGTATCTATGTCCTCATTTATGTGTGGAAAGGCATGCATGTGTGTTCTGGTTTAGGTATAATAGTCAGAGAACACTTTGGGTGTTGGTCTTTTGCCTTCAGCATGTTTGAGACAGGGTCCCTAGTTTACTAAAGCATGCAAATAAACTTTCAAGGTTTCTTGTCTGCCTTTTATGTTGCTTTAAAATTACTGGATTAAAAGCATGCATGGGTCAACTGTTTTTATAAGACAGAAGTAAAGGGATAGGTTCCAGGTTAGTACTTTATTTGTTAAACCTTTTTCACACAGCCATATTTTGTTATTAAGTAGAGATTTTTGAGTGCATGTGTTTTCAGACACAGTCTCATATTCTAACCCTGTCTTACCTTGAACTCATTATGTAGTAGAATGGCTAGAGCTGGAACTTGAAGATAGCCACAAGTTTTTGCCCTAAGTGGTGAAACATGCATAAAAATACATTTTTATTCCAGATTTAGCACAGATATTGGTAGGAAGACGGACTTTTGGAAAGTGTCATCTTGTGATAAGAGCCATTGTTAAGAATTAATACAGGGCATTGTTACACTTGTGGTGACATTGTCAATTCCATTTCAGTGAGTTCTTAGAGAGCTTCTCTCTCTCTGTGTCTCTCTTCTCTCTGCCTCTTTGTCTCTTTGTTTTTCTGTCTCTCTTTCTCTCTCCTTTTTCTTTGATACCACAAGGAGTAGAAGTAACAAGCCAGAATCGTGACAAAAACATTTCATGGATAGAGCTATGTAAGCCCTTTAGGAATGAAGCTCACCTGTCTGAAACAGAGCTACAGTATTTGTTGTCTTCCCTCACTGTGTCCACTTTTCAATCTTTCATTTTTATTTTTTCTGTCAAACAATACATACCTACTACAGTTTCCCCTCCTTACATTCCTACAAGTCCTTTCTATTGTTCCTCTCTTCACCAGATCCACTCCTCCTCCATTTCCATTCAGAAGAGAGAAGATATGCCAGAGTTATCAATCAACACTGCATAACAAGTGACAATAAAAATAGGCAGGAAATCTTCTATTGTCTTTGGACCTATGTCTCCTTTGTCCTTGGACAAAGAAAGCAAATAGGAGTTAAAGGATTTCAAAAGCAGGCAAAAGAGTCACAGACACACCCCTGCTTTCACTGTTAGGAGTTTCACAAAAACACCAAGCTATACAATTGTAACACATATGCAGAGGAACTGGTGTGTGCACATGCAGGCCATGATTGCTGTTTCAGTCTCTGTGAGCCGCTATGAGCCCTGCTCAGAATTCTCTGTGTTGTGTTCTCCTCTGACCTTTTAGGTAGAATATTTTTTCAAAATCCATTCTGAGCTTTTGAGCTCCACAGATTTTCCTCCTTGTATTGCTATTAGTCTTAGGTTTGGTCTTTTAAATGTGTTCCAGATTTCCTGGATCTTATGTTTCTGGAAATTTCTAGATTTAACATTTTCTTTCATTGATATGGCCATCTCTTCTATCATAGCTTCAAAGCCTGAAATTCTCTGTTCCATGTCTTCATTCCTTTTGGTGAAGCTTGCTTCTGTAGTTCTTGTTTGAATACCTAGATTTTTATTTCTAGAATTCCTTCAGTTTGCATTTTTAATTCTTTCTATTTCCATTATCAGGTCTTGAAATTCTTCATTCATTTCCATTAGGTGTTTGTTTGCCTTTGGCTTTCTTAAAAGGATTTGTTAATTTTTTTCCAGTATTACATTTATCATTTCTCTGCTTTCTTTAAAGGGATTCATTCATTTCCTCTTTAAGAACCCCTATTATCTTTATAACGTTTATCTTAGTTGTCTTTCAACCATGATGAAATGTCCAGGTCTTGGTG